GAGGATCGGCTCTGCCTCATTCCTCCGTGAGCGCGCCTGTGCCCACACACGCACCCGCCGCCCCCCTGCAGGGAGGGCGGCTCTCACCCCGACCCCCCTGCCCCTCGCACACACGCACTGCGCACTCGGGAGCCCCCCGTGCACCCACACCCCCCTTTTGCTGGTGGCCGCCCCCAGGCACAGCCAGCTTCCTGGGGCGCTTGGTTTTTCTCAGCCCATCATTCTGGCTCTCTTCTTCCCCTCCGCCCATCCCCTCCACCCATTTGTCACCCTTAGCTTGTCACGGTGGTGGTGGCACAGACGTACCGCCATGGCGGGGCCCCGAGCAGGTGGTAGAGACCGCGCCAGAGAGCTTTGCTCTGCAAGGGCTGGACTCGCGCTAATGATACCGTCCTCATGAGTCCTGTCCCTACGCGAAGCCCCTGGGATCACGCAGGAGCAGGAGTCACCTGGCTAGCTCTGCTCCTGGCACCGCTGTCAGGAGGAGAGGAGAGGAGGGGTACAAGGGATCCAAGGGCTCACGAACCCAGAGGCTAGAAGATCTGAGCGCTTTTGCACGTAGGTGGGAGGACGCCCCTCTCTCTGGGAGCTTATTTGCACTGATCTTTTGGAGGAAAGCCTGGCTGTGACCTAGATAGTGTCCCAGGACGTTCAAAGAGGAGTGGGTCGGAGCTGCAAAATGACAAAGTGAGGGACAGGGGACAGTTTCTAGGAACCCAGAGGAGGCTCAGTCTCCTCCATCATGGCTTTGCCCCCATTTGCAACCTCTTGGTTGTCAAGACCAAACAGAAAGGAATTTTCCTTCCTGGCGAGGGTTCAGGGTTGCGGATATAGAGATCTTTCAAAACTTCAGAGTGAGCAAACGGTTTTGGTATTTCCTCCTAAAAATGTTAGACGAAAGACCCAAAAAATGCTAAAAAGAAAAATCCTGCTGGCTGCAGTACTGGCAGTTCCTAGCTCTTCCCTGGATGCTTAGCCAGGCTCAGAGGGAGCAAACTGGGTGTCTGCTCCCCCATCTACCAGCCTGGAATCCCAAAGGGGTGGTAATTCACCTCCCCTTCTTGGACCTGGCTCCACATCCCCACCCTGGAGGACCTGGAGGAGCAGGGCGCTCCATGTGTCCTTCAGCCCCAGCGTCTGCTTTGCTGGTCCCCCACCCTCTCCCTCCGTTCCGCATGTCTGTGGCTGGATTCCCCGTGCGGCTGCTTGGCTGGGCTGCAAACCCTTAACTGATTGCTCTCAGCTGGACTGGACTGTCAGCAGCCCTGGGGTTTTCATGGCACATCCCAGGCCCCTTACCCACACAGACCAGGAGGCAGCCTGAAGAGAGATGCCACTCCAAAACCCTTCCACCCTGTGGCCGGGCAGGATGGGCTCAATGCCTGGAGTCTTGGAGCCGTCCTTCGGCGGTCTTGGCTCCCTGTCCAGCTGCTGTGTCCCTCCTTCTCACTGCTCTTGGCCCCTTTCCCTCACTGCATTGCAATGAGTCATCTTTGCTGAGCTCACCCACTGGAGCCGCAGGGGGGCTGGCAGGCCTGGTGCCCGCTGGCACCAGGGAGGGTGCCTCACCTGGCACCACGCTCCCCCAGAGCCGCAGACCCCTGGCCATGATGTGCAGGCACCCGGGCACATCCTGATTTCTCCTGCCCGTCCCTTGACCAGGCACCCAGCTTGGGCACGAGGCAGAAGGAGGGGAGGGGAGGGCAGTGCTTGGAGGCCTCGCTGCAGGCAGCTGCAGGTCTCTGCCACGTTCATTTAATGTCTGGCGTGGAGGATGCAGACAGGGAAAAGAGAGCGTGGCTGGTATTGCCTGAGGGTAGGGGAAGGTGATGCTGGCCAGACACACAGTGACTGATTCCCTAGCGCGTTGCAGGGCCAGCCAGTCCCTGTGCAGTGCATCGGACATCATGATGAGGAGCATGATATAGAGCATCATTTGTGTGAGAAGAGGCAGCCTGCCTGCCTGTGCCATGTGTGCCCACCTTGCACCACCGAGCGCCCACATCTGTGTGCCGGGGCAGTAGCCTGGCTAACGCCTACTCTCTCCCCCCCTGCCCAGGTTCCCCTCTCAGTGGCAGCCACCGCCGGGCACCTCAGCGGAGAGATGAACCCCACCGTCGGCATCGCTGTCATCCTGACAGGTACAGCCTGCAGACGCACATCCCCTCCCTGCTCACTAGCAAGCTTCGCCCAGAGCAGCCAGGCAAGGGCCAGGAGGCTGCACGAGCATCCCCAGTGCTCGCTGTTCCCTGTCTAACCCCTGCTTGCCTCTCCCAGTCCTCCAGGCCGCCCACTGCCAGATGATCAAGGACCTGAGTGCCTGCCTGCTGGGCCAGAGCCTCCGGGTAGACTGCCGTTACGAGAACAAAACCAGCAACCCCCTGACCTACGAGTTCAGCATCACCAAGGACAACAGGAAGCACATCATCCAGAGCACCATCAATGTCTCCGAGAACATCTACCGGAACCGAGCCAATGTCACCATGCACAAGAACCTGGTGTGCCTCTACCTGCAGAGCTTCACCACCAGTGATGAGGGTGTCTACATGTGCGAGCTGAAGGCCACCAACGACTACACCGGCAACCAGATAAAGAACATCACTGTCATCAAAGGTGAGACGGGCAGCGGTGCCTGCCCTCAGCCCCTCCTTCCCACCTGCTCCTTGGCTTGGCAGGGCCAGCAGAGAAAACTACAACCCCCTACGGTGTCCCCAAACCCTTCCTGAGCCCCATAAATGTTTACCAGCCCTTACACGCCCTTCCTACTGCAAGCAGAGCAGTCGGCCCCACAGGTGGCCTGACTCTGCCCCATCTCAGACTGCCGATCCCTGCTTCTTGTGGGCCCCACCTCGGGCGCGTTGCCCAGGTGTCCATCCAGAGATTATGCTTCATAGTCTGTCCCAGCAGAGGGCACAAGTCTACTGACTGAAGAGGTATGTGGTCTGGAGCGGGAGGGCAGTGGGGATTTTCCACACTTAGGCCCCGCAGGAGCACTCCTCCAGTTGCAGAGCCCTTTGTCTTACCTGGTGCCCATCCTCTTGTCACCTCAGTCAGGCACAGGCAAGATCACACTTCCTAGGGTCTCTACACCCCCAAAAGCCACATGGGTACAAGGTGGGAGGGGAAACAGGCAAGGGGCCAGGATGGCACTCGCTGCATTTCTGTGGCAGAGAAAAGGCAAGAAGCTGAGTCCCAGTACCCCTTATAACCCAGCCTGATCCCTGTTCCTGAGGCATTTCATTGTGGCTCTTCTCTCCCTCCCCGTTCTCTGTCCTCACAGACAAACTGGAGAAATGCGCCGGCTTCAGCCTCTTGATCCAGAACACTTCATGGCTCCTGCTGCTTCTCCTTTCCCTGCCTCTCCTGCAAGCGGTGGACTTCGTGTCCCTGTGAAAGGAAAAGCGCGCACACACACACACACACACGCGCACACACACACACACCGAGTACCCCAGCAAACCCGCCCCCCCCGCCAGAACGCAGCCCTTGGAAAGAGAAGCTGAACCGTTTGGAACAAGTGAAACCTCTCTCTGTGTTATATCTATATAGCCGTATATCTAACGCTAACCACCGTCCTGTGCCGAGACCCGCCATCACACGCACACATGCCCTGCTCCGAAGCATGGTGGCTCTGCTAGGCAACATTGCTTCTCCCATCGCACCTCTCTGCTCGGTAGGCTGGCTGGTTTGCTCATGCTGGGAGCGCTGGAGCCTCAGCCCCACACAGCCCGCTTCTCCCGTCCCTTTAACTTTGGGGGTTTGCCTGTTCTCACCTGGGGAAAGACAGCTGGACTGGCAGGGGAGAGAGAGAGATGATGCGAGAGCGTGCGGAGGGGTCCCCAACGCTGGGTGCTGTGCCCACGGCCCCTGGAGGAGATGGGGCTGCCGGCGTCCCCGCCCCGCCCTGCCCGCTAGCCAGATGATTTACTGATTTCTCAGCCTGCTCCTCTCACCCTGAGTCACCCTGAGCTGCCACGACTGGGAGGGGGCACGACATGAGTCCTGTCTCAGAGCAAGCAGGGAAGAGGCAGAGGGAACAGGGGGGTGCATGGGATGATGCTGTGCCTGGCCAGGCTGGGAAGAGAGAGGGGAGCAGGTCTAGGAGACGTCTGTCAAATGCCCCTGCCTCCTTAGGGCTCTTTCGGGGCCCTAGGAGGGGCTCACTGCAAACGTGCTGTGGCAACAAGTTTTTCCTAATCTGTTTTTTACAGCTGAGCTGGAAGTGAGGCGTCCTTCAGACATCATCTGGTACCTTTGGGCTGCCCAAGCCCGAGACAGCACTTGCTCTCCCCGGGGACCAGCCCTTAGCTGTGACGAGAGAATTGCTGCCAGCACTCGATCTCAGTGGAGGCAAGCAGAGCCTCTCTGAGCTAGCCACAGCCCTGCCTTCACCCCTGCTCCCCTCCCTGAGGCCCCCAGAGCTGGATCCAGGCAGGCTGGTGGGGAGGGGGCTCCCCTATGGGAGCGTGACCCCAAGGTCTCCTCTGCACCATTACCCTGTCTTCCCTGAAGGAACATCTGGAGGCCCCATTCCTTCGTCATGGTACACATCCAGGTTCCTGCCTCTGGGTAGGCTCAGCAGCCTTTCTCCCCCACAGTCTTCCTCCAGTCCTACTATGCCGCTGGGAGAAGCCCATGTGCCCCCGCCCCTTCAGCATTTCCCTGTCTCCATTTAAGAGCAGAAAAGGCCCTAAGAGCACCCCAGCTCTTGGCCACCACCTCTGTAAGGCCAGGACTTCCCCAGGGGTTGGTGAGAGCGGGAAGAGGGACGCCGAGCACAGCCCACCTCTGCCAGCCCAGGCCTGCCCCAGTGCCCCTCCAGAACCCCGAAGAGCCAGTGGGCTGCTCCCCCAAACTCCCTGAAACCTGGCGGCTCCCAGGTGAGGAGCAGCCCAACCGGCCGCAGGGAGAGAGGCCGGAGGGCCAGCATTGCTGCGCCCTCGCCCAGGGGAGGGCACGGGGCAGGGGAAGATGCAGGCAGGAGCATCCAGGTCCATTGGGTGAACCCCAGCCCCGCTGAGCTACGCGAGCAGCCTGGGCTGTGCCGCCACGGCTGAGAGCAATTCACAGCAACTGCTCCCCGCTCCTTCCTTTTCTCCAGACACTGCGAGCTGCCTCCTGCCCCCGTGCCCGTTCCCTGCCCGTCCCTGCCTGCTTGCTTGCTGTCTAGTGCTGCTGAGGCCATGTATAGTTGAGGTCTGGCTGCGCCCAGCTCCCTGGGCTTGCTGGTGAGCGCCGGGGCAGGTGCAGAGAGCCCAGCCGGCAGAGCGCGGATGCGTCTCGAGTCTCATTTTTTTGTGAACATTTGTAGTTGTTTCCACAGCTTGTCATAAAAGAAATTCTGTTAAGGGGGAAAAAAAAGAACCCTACGAAAAGCAACAACGAAAAGCAACCTATCCTCCAGGAGTGTTCCTCTGTCTGCACAATAAAACCCTAGGTTGTGTGTTGGAGCCATGGCCACCCGTGTGTGCGGCGACGGGTCGAGGGGCTGTGGCGGGGCTGGGCTCCAGCCTGTGCCCTCAGCCTCTCTGCTGGGGGGGACGCACTTCCCAGGCATCTCCCAGCGTGCCTGCCCCAGGGCTCCTGCAGCCCGAGCCCCGTGGGAGGGAAGCAGACAGGGACAAAATTCACCTTCTCCAGGGAGGGTGACCCCCTTCTGCCCACCTGGAGCACGGATCTCTTTGTCCCCATCGCATCCCTGTCCCTGTCTCTCCCACTCTGTCCCGGGGGCCCTCCCTTGGTCCCATTGTGAGCTCATGGCCGGGGCTGTGCACTGTGTCGGCAGGAGGGCCAAGCGGGGTACGTGTGAGCGGACACCCCTGGCCCAACCACCCTCTGGGAAGGGAATTGCTGGGCTGAGAGCGCATGTAGGAGCAGGGCTGGGTATGCAAACGCGTCCTGAAGCTCCCAGCCCTGGGGCCGCGTCCCTGTCATGCCAGGGTCCTTCCTGCACGCCTGTGCCTGCATGCTGCCCTGTAGGGCTGCCAAGGGCCCCCACATCCTCTAGAGCAGCCGGAGCAGCCACGCACAGCACCCTGCCTGGGGTCAAGATGCCTCCCTGGGACCTGGGGACTGCAGGGCACACTCACCCTCAGGTTTGGGAGCAGGGCCCTGCCGCCAGCCCCTAACACCACTGATGACCCCATGGCAGCCTCCCAGAGTCACACCCAGACGCGTCCCTCGTGTGGCCCTCCCTGTTTCAGGGCTGGAGCCGGGCAGGAGGGAGGAAAATGCCACTATAATTGCATCCCTCCTAATTACCCTCGGCAGGTGCTCACTGAGTCACGGCCACCCGAGTGCCAGTGTAACGCAAGGCCATGCTGCCCTGGGTGGGGTGGGTCAGGCTTCGGGGAGCGGTGCTGGGTGGGTGCCCCGGCATCCCCGTGGAGCCATGAGGGTGCTCCTGTGCCTTCACCGCCACGCTGGCTGCCCTGTGCCCTCCTTTGCTGCAGGCTTAGGGACCTCTTCTCCCTACAGCTTGCCCCAAGGAGTGCAAAACCCAGACTACCTCCTCCCCTCACCTTGATGCCCTGCTCCAGACCTTAGTGGCAGCCATGGGCATCCCCTCTCTCTGCCTCCCCAATTCCCACACCAAGTTGTGTCCCACCCCACTGCCTCTTGTAACCCTCTGTCCAACCTTTCCCTCCTGGACCTCCAACTCCCTCCCCAAACCTCTCCCCTCCCCACACTTACCCACAGTCATCCTTCTTCATTCCCTGCCTCTGCAGCCTCCCCTCCCAGCACCCCCTTGCCGTGGGTCACCAGCCCGCTTGAGTTCACGTCCCCTTTAAGCCTCCCTGAAGCTGGAATGCGAGAGGAGCATTTTGGCGCCCTGTGAGGTCAGATAAAGACACTATATTTATCTAGCTGGTAACCTGAGCCGTGAATTTCTGTGGTGGTGTTTTTACGAGGCCCCACATGCCTCCGGCTCGGCCCCCTCCAGCCATTGCGTCCGCTCCCTGCAGGGTGGAGGAGCTGGGCTTTGGGGTGGCCTGTCCCCTCCAAAGGGTTCAGGTCCTGCCAGCCCCTCCGCATCGCTCACTCTCCTTCAGCCCCAGGGGAAGCGCCCCAAGGAGGCAGGATCGGCTCCCTGCGCTCAGCCCCGTGGGCATCACCCCACGACCAACCGCTCACCCCTCGCCATGCCAGCCTCACACCCCTGACCAGCCACCGGCCGCCCACCCTGCCGACCCGCATGCAGGTGAGTGGAGGG